AACAGATGAACAAACAAGCAAACAGATTAGGGACTGTTGGGTTTACCTCCCAGAGGTGTTTTCATATGTGCCAGCTTATAATAGGAGAAAAAAACACATACAACAATGGAAGTTTTTATTGTTTATTATTGTGTTTTTTAATTTATTGTATAATATCTATGGGTTAACTTTACCAAGTACCCATTGGTAGAAAACCACCCAACACAAGGGTTGTTTTAATGACATTTAATTATGCAGAGTGAGAGTTAAAGAACAAACCTAACACAGTAGGTTTACCTACGTCACTATACTGTAGGTAACCACAGTAACCAGTAGTGTATCCAGCACACAAAAGAGTGGATTTCACGACTGAATAAAGAAAACTTGTCTTGAACGACCGATTTTCAAATCAAAACATCATAAAAGCATTCTTGCATTCCTGCAGATGGAGCACAGAAAGCTGCATGTGGCTGTGAGATGTGACGACGTTTCCTGGTCTGGGAAATACTTTCAAATAGCTACATTTTGAGACTACTGACATGCCTGACAGGAACATGAGGGCAGTGGTTTAGAGTTTGGACTAGTGAATATAAGTGAGAGAGCAGCACTTGCCTTTTACCTCATCACCACTGCTGATGAGCTCTTGTGCAAGGGACTGAGGCCCCTGCTGGTCCAGTGTGGCTGATTACTCAGTGGCCATCATTCATGCTGAGCTCTGTGAATGTACTGTGGTTGTATAAAAGGTTCAAAAGTTCATCTTCCCTGCATGCGATGTAGATTAACTTCTGATCTTTTTGGCTCAATCACTCAAATGAAACATCAGCTAAAGTCAATGATGTTGTGGCCTTTGTACCGTGAAATCCCATCATCGTTCTCAGCTTACTGTGGCCTTTAGGGACATCAAAGCCCAATGACATAAAAATACGATTTAAGAAATAGGCCTACAACATAAAAAAATGCAAATTTGACTATCAACATGAAAATATTATTATATTATATCTCCTTTCCACTGAGCTCATATCCTCTGGAATCTATTTTTTTCTGAGACACTGGGAGTTTTTTGCAAGAAACTACATATTGTGAGTATTTAATTTGGTGATTCCAGTATTTTTTTTATTTGAGCATGTTTAAATTTGACTATAGGTTAAATTTAAACCGACAAAATAAATTCACAGATAAATGATTCCCTGCCCCAGTCATTTGAATAGGCTACAAACATAGGATAAATACAAGCTATTAAAAAATCTTAGTGTCTTGGTGTCTAGTCAGAATTTCCTGGTAGGAGATGAGGGCCAGTAAGACCTCAGTATTTCACCCCTGGCTATATCCCTGCATATTTATTTCCCCAGTAGAGCCACTTAACTCTGGTGGTTATGTCTCACAGCAATAGTGTGATGGCACTTGAGATACATGAGCAGGATGGTGCCACAGGTCGTTCTCTGCAGCCTTCTGAATACAGTGCACCACTTATTTCTGTTTGCCTCATCTTCAGTGTTTTCTCATGCTGTGAGAGAGGAATTTCGCAGCGCACAGGTACAGAGAAGACAGATGAGCAGACAGACAGAATAAGACTGGGCTTTTCTTCCATATCAATAATTCTATTTGATTTGATTTGGAAAGGTGTATTAAGCATGTACGTGTCAGGACTGTTGGTTGGGAGATGCGTGTTGAACTTGGCGCGTCTGTCCCTGCGCAGAGGAGGCTCTCCCCTCACCACTTCTCTCTATTCTCGTCCTCAGCTCTCACACCTGAAGTGACAGAGGAAGGGAGTGAAGCTCGGAGCAGTGATGAAGGCAGCGCGCCGTGCTGCCTAGCTTGTTTCTCTTCTGCAAAGCGACTGCAGGGCACATTTGGAGAACAAGTCAGAAGGAAAACGTCCAAAGGGAGGGGGTGCGCGCATGTGACAGGCTTTTGGACATTTCCATTTATACCATTCGGGCAAGGGAATTGAATCTCTCCATCGGGAGCTGCCTTTTAAAAAACATATCACCGGCTGGCTTTTTCAATTGCACGCCTCGTCCGTCGCCTGCGGATCGCCACAGCACCATGCGAGAAGGAGAGACGCGCCCTGTGACATGCTGAACGACTCTCCGACTCTCCTGCTGGCTCTCACCGCGGTGGCCGGACTTCTCCAGCGATGCCAAGGCTGGAGCGACGAAGACCTCCTCCTGCCGCCCATCAACTCCTCCAACAGGTTCATGGCCAACCTGGAGGTGGACGTGCGGTTCTCCAAGAGGTCTGTGGAGGAGAGCGAAGCCTCGCCCGACGCCTCCTCCCTTCAGACTCTGTCCCAGTGCAACGTGAGCGTCCAGAGACTCCTGCCCACATCGCTGGTGGCCCGCTGGGACAGCAGCTTCGGCTTCCAGTGTGATGTGCTCATCTACACCACCAATAACCACGGGAGGGCTTTTTTCTCCGCGTCTTTCAACAGGGCGATCTCGCCTGTCGTCATCGAGCACCTGGGGGTCACCGGGGGTCAGCAGGAGTTGCGGTTGTGCGTGGGCTGCGGGATGTCCCGGTACCGGAGGTTCAGTCAGGGCAGGTCGAGGGGCCAGCAGACCGGGGATCAGGTCACTTTCTGCTGCGTGGATTTCAGCCTCGACGAGCTGAAGGGGGACAAAAGTTGGAGGTTGAACAGAAAGCCCATCGAGTCGACACTTGTGGCTTGTTTCATGACACTGGTCATCATTGTGTGGAGTGTTGCTGCTCTCATATGGCCAGTCCCGATCATTGCAGGATTTCTGCCCAATGGGATGGAGCAGAGGAGACCGAGATAATTGAAATAATCTTTATTATAAATAGCCTGTGCTGCCTATACTATAATTGTAGCCATTCAACTGAGTGAATGATTGAGGAGCTTGGAGAACTTTTTGATCAAATGCTTTAGTTTGGGGTGTTCTTTAACCCTTATTAGACCTCCTCCTCATTAGGACAACCAAGGTAAAGTATGGTGGCTTATACTAGCCAATAGTAAACTATACTGGGACCAAAACCAATGTGTTTTGTATACTCTTGTAGGCCTTCCTATAGATTATGTCTGCGTAAACTGTGCAAACGTTTCTCCTCTTTAAACAGTGTTTGTATAGTTTTTAATCTTTCTAGAAAGTTTATGCCTTATCCCATGTGTAGGACTTTTGCACTGATAACTGAACTTCAACGTGTGCCGTCACATATATAACCTATATATGTTCAAAGTAAATGTAATATTTTTTCCCCAATACATTCTGAAAAATAGATGTTGTTTATGACTGACTGAGAGGGGGGTTCAATATTTATATTGTTAGATTTATAATGTCAGGTTCAATATGCGTGCTTATTTGTATTCATGTTCAACTGGTTTCAATGAAAATAAAATTGATTATAGGCTATACCTCAGATTCTGTCTGACCTGTTCTCTGTAGCCTAAATCAATTTACTTCAGACTTATTTTAAGTGAACAAAGCATGTGATCCAAAGTTGAAAAGCTCTGAGCCAAAACTGTCAGTCTTTGAAAAATATACACTTTGTATTAAATTAGGTGCACCTAGGTACAGCTATGCAGTCTAATACAACATTTCTGCAATAAATCCCACTGTCATGAAGGGTATAAAGTTCAACTTTGTTGAAACTGTTGTAGAGAAGATTCAACTATGAGCATTGTGGAGGTTGTAGTTTGTTGAGCTGTACAGGGGTGGTGTATCTGTTATTTAGCCTACCCTCATTGATTTAAATGGGATGGACATAATAAGAGAAACGGCTGTCGGTAAAACGCAGTACAACTCAACAGCACCACAAACTGCAGCCTTCAAAATGAGCATGAAGTTGTATTTTAACATCATATGAGGTGCAGAATGAACCTTTAACTTATGGCCACAAGGGCTCTTCTGTACCCATCACTAATTATGTTCAATTTGTAATTAAGTAAATTGTGACCATAACTAAATTAAGCAAGTGTCACATATTACCATGTTTGACACAGATTTTGTAGGCTTATTATCTCATAGAAGACCTATAAATGCCTGGCTATATGACCAAATACAATTTTACATATGTTATACAGTTAGTTTATTTCAGATATTGTTTTATGAGGTGAAGAAATTTAATTAGTACTTTAGTGTAAGAGTAAAAGTGTTAAAATATTGATAATGAGGAGTATTTTAATGCTGTAGCTGGTTCAGGTAATGCCACATGCTTAGTTTAACCCACAGCGCATCATACTACACATTGTGTAAAATCTGTCAGGGTCATCTCTCTGTCCCTTCTCACTTTATGCTGCTCAGTGTAGATAAGGGTTTGGATAATTACTCTTCATGTGCTGCAAATGGACTGTTTTAGCTCTGCAACATCAAAATGTCCAGACACTTGCCTTGCTTTACATGTGATGTGGCTTGCTCAGTCAAGAAAGACTTTATTATCCGGATTTGTCAACCAAACTGTCGCTGACTAACCAGTTTGTGAGGATGACACATCCAGGCTGACTCAGCAAATAGCAATCAGTGTGGATGTTTATCTGTAAAAGTAAGCTTTTAATACTAGTAGCCTACAAATTAGACAGCAACACTACATGAGCATTATAACCATCATGAAGTGAGGATTTATTGGAGGACTGTTGATTTAGACTGCATAACTTTTTAGCTGGGTGTATAATCTGGCAAATGAGTGTGTAATCACAACAAAGAAAAATACAATTAGAGAATTAATTTTCTTTTAAGGAAATTCATTTTTTTTAATATTTCTGCACTGGGAAGCTACAAATTCATGTTGACCTGTGCTTTAATATCTTGGTATCACTGCACCATTTACAGGATATAATTAAAACAATAGTATATACTTTGTTTGGCCTTTTAACTGTAAATAAAGATGTGCTGATTTTTATTTAGCAAAAATAACTAAACTGCAGTGATTTTTAGCGGTTGAATATATTTTATGTTTTGTAAATTACGAATGAACCGCGCATGAACTCTGTACCTGCCAAAATGGCCGACCTGGCCACGCCTTTACATTACCTGGCGCCCTACACTCCCTTGCTGCTGACACGCTCGCACATACAGGAAGTGGAGGAGTTTGACGTTAACGAGAGGAAAATGTGGCGCACGAAGTTTGCAGCTGTGGACGAGAAGCTATGAAATCTGAGCGGATCGCCATTGATTTCTCTCAGGATCAAAGTTGTAGAACTACACTGTAGGACACAATGTCCTTATCAGGAGTCACTCTTCAGATTTTGCTTCTTACAGTCATGGTTTTCACTGTGTCAGGTAAGTTACAGCTTAATTATTTACCAGCAGGACCGATTTTCCCTGCAATGTTGCTGAGGTGGAAGAAATGCTGTTTAAATATGGACACTGATTATTCCTCAAATTATGCACATGGCAGAAGTCTGCCCCCGAGGGCATTGTGTCAAGAAGCCAAACTACTTGGTTAGATTTAGGCACCAAAACTCCTTGGTTAAGTTCAGGAAAAAAGATAGACAGAAAGCCTTTCTGCCAGAAAGCCCTGGAGGCATGCTTCTCCCACATGCTCAAATTATAGGACATTATTATTGAGCTGTTTAGTATTTCTAAGCTGTTATTAGTGTGCTGTTTACTGCTAATACAGCTGTGGATGAACTTCTGGGGCCTGAATGACTTTAATGAGTGTACTGATTAGGTTTTGACAGAGTAAATGGAGTTGTAAGGCAGAATCAGGGTGAGAACAAAAGAAAGGACCTTTCAGTGTGGAGTTCTTGTTAGACTGATCTGAGCGGCTTTCTGTTATTTGTCCAACAGTAAACCTCATCAACCAAAAGGTTTGCAGAGCTAATCTGATGTGTCACATGTCAGATGATAGGTTGTGTCTGTTTTGTCCACTTAAGTGAAATAACACAGTGTGAAACAGGAAATGTGAGATGCAATAGAGAGTTGACATTAGGTGTATGAACATGGCTGCGTTGCTCAGTACAGGCCTGGATAGTCATAGAAGAGAGAGGAGCCAAGCCGTCAGCCTCATCTCTCAACACAGTTAGTCACTGTGACTTTAGCAAATGTAAGAGTATATTTAATTTGTAGCAAGACTTCTTAATATTCAGTTTTTTTTTCAGGACTGGAAATCTAGTGTTTTTTGCTGCACATGCTGCACATTTCTTCCTTTTCCAAATTTTCGTGCTTTGTGTTTTTACCAGGGGTCCAGAAGCTGACCATCACCCCTGACAGAGGAACCAACTTCAACATCAGAAGCAGTAGTCAGCCCAAAGGTTGCAACGTGTGCACCGGAGCAGGACGCTCACGACGATGTAATACATCCCTTCTGCTAAGAGACAACACTCCTGTCTCACTGGAGTTTGAATGCTCCAGACCTCAGGATGTATTCAGTGTGGAAATTGTGCGAAATATAGGTAAGAGCACTGCAGTCTCTCTCAAGGTATTGTGATCTTGTATCTTGCTGAACTAATACAGTGTGGGCAGGTTTATTGGTTGTAAAAGTCATCTGTTAATATCTCTTCCCAGAATGTACCACAAAGTCATGCAACAGCCACATCATCCAGGCTGACTCGGGCTCGCTTCCGTTACTGGATTTTGACCGCAAGTTCACCTGGAACCTGAAGGCCTCGGCGCCGAAAGCATTCAACATAGACTTCAGCAATACGGGTCTAAGACAGATTAATCCATCTGAGAGATGTCCAGACAGACACAGCTACACCCTCCAGGCCTTCCAGACTACGGGGAATGTGGCCGTAGGGAAATACTGCAGAACGGGAACTATCCGTAGTGCCCAGATACTGAATCAAGGTAGCTTTTCTGTGGATGTCCCAGCTGGACAGAAACTCCAAAGTGGCCAGTTTGACGTGTCTGTTGGGGAGGAAATCAAATGTGAGTTATTTAAAATTGAATAACTTCTCTGTCTGGTGTCTCGTGTGTCCGACATCACATTATGTGACTGTTGTACGTGTTTGTTTTTTCCCTCATAGCCCTTGCCAAAATTACACTGACGTTACCAAAAGGGGCCTCATCGTCGGAGTTGCTCTCTCCAAACTACCCGGATAGTTTTCCTGACGACGGCGTGATGGAGTGGTACTTTCAGGTGCCGGAGAAGCACAAGACAGCTGTTCAGCTCTTACAGCTCATACAGCCGCGATGTCTGAAGAAGGACACCGCAGTGGAGTACCAAAGCAAAGGGAGAGTGGCGTCGGTGCTGAGGCTGACAGACCGCCAGCCGGAGCAGAGTCAGGGAAACTTCTCCCTGATGCTGAGGAACTGTGAGATGGACAGAAGACGTGCTGCTTCCCCTGGACTGTCCCTGACCCTTAAGGTGTCTTCAAGTGAAAGTTCACCAGGTTGGTACACTTCATTTGCACTTAATGCTACCATTTGGCTTCGACGACGTCACAGTTTTAACTTTTTACTTCTGCAAAGATGGTTATGTATTTATATGTTATTCATCTCAAATATTTTTGAAATAAAGTAGACAGAGAGTCATTGAGCCAGAGAAAGGCAGAGAGTGTTTCAGGTCTTTGTTTTGGTTTTCCAGCCCACAACTGTACTGTTTTGGGTCACTCTCACAACTCGCAGCAGTGTTGTTTTAATCCGCAACTGTTCTAGAGCTCTAAAAATCCACTTTACAACACCGGCTCAGCACCAAAAAGCAGATGGGCAAAGTTAGCGACTAGCTGCTGAACATTGTGGAGCATTTAGCAGCTAAAGAACCAAATATTTCCCTCCCTTAAATGTTGGTAGAGACCAAAACCAGAGCTAAGAGAGTGAATATTGGACTTGCAGTCATCAGGTGGCCAGAAATACGACTCCAAATGGATATTCATGTTGCTTTGTGTCTGCTGGACATATAAACAGGCAGCTCTGTGCTCACATGTTTAATGTTTAACATGTGTTTACAGCTTATTCTGCTGTCACTGAGTGGTGGAAAAAAATCAAATATTGCTGCTTTAAAGTATTATCTCTGTTTAATCTGTTAGTCTGTCAAAAATAATGACGAGTCACTAGAGCCCAGTGTTTCATCTTGAAATGTCTTACTTAGATCAGTAGACCTACAGTGCCAAATTATTGCATAATGATATGAAATGTAAAAAGGAAAGCTCTTTAGAGCTAACAAAAGAAATATATAGATAACATTGGTTTCGTTTTTGGATGTAGGCGTTTGTGGAGGTTTTGCTGTTCAGACAATATTTCAGAGGATGAATGGTGACTCCCCATTTAATCGTCTATATACTTATTTGGACCCCTATTAGCAACTACCCCCCTTCTCTAAAAAACACCAAACAAAGAATCAACAACAATAAAACTTCTGATGACGATGATAACATAATCCTCTACATGTTGCAGTAGGCATGTGATTGCTAAATATATATATTATTACAACAAGGGTTCATTTTCTCTCGTCAGTTGTGAAAGAGATTTCCCTGTTTCTTGAGGCAGCTGCAGTTTAGATGAGTAATGAAACCGTGATGTGGAGAGTGGGCTCTCAAGATTCCCTCATCGCTGAGTCATAAATGACAGCAGTGGCGCCTCACCAGGAAACACTTCCTTCAGTCAGGGAATCACGTTCAGCTCTACCAGTCAAATCGAAATTCAAATTCCTGTTGGCTGATATTGTGATAAATGAAGAGCCCACACATTTGCATTTTTGTGTGAGACAGAAAAAAAAGGAAACATGTATGCTCATTTATATTGTCATTCTGTAGTGTTGTGTAAAGTGGATGTGAGCAAAATGGAGGGCCTTTCTCTTCACATCGAGAAGCTGAGACCGGCCTCTTACTGCGAGATGAAAATAAACTCCGTGCTGAAAGAGAAGATTACAGTCACATCACACAGTGACCTGACGTTCCAGGACTGCCTTCCTGAAGACGTACAAGTCACCGCCGTGGGAGTGATGGGTAAATGCAGATTTGAGTGTTTACTGGGGGGCTGTCCTGGGCCTAGAATATAAGCCTTTAAGAACCATTTCTTTTATATACATAAATGCTCTTCTTGGAAAGACTATGGCCTATCATGTATGTACGATTTAAAATACCATTTTATTGCAACCTTGAATGAACTTTGTATATTATTCAACTTGATTTCTGCACTTTTTCAAGATCGTGACTGACAACATTCTCTCTGGATGATGAATAATATAATTTCTTACCCCAAACATTTTCTGTCCTTAAGTCAGACAAAACAAGACCTTGAAAGTAATTGAAGAGTCTTTGGATCTGATGTGAATATTAGAAACCCGAGTTACACCAAGTAGTTCACCTCACAGTCTAAGATGCAAGTTTTGTGTGTTTATTAAATGTTTATATACTGCTTATAAATGTAAGTAAAGTGTTAATTGCATTCATTGCTGTAGCTCCTAAAGGTAGAAATTCATTCTCATCTCTGAACCCCTCTTGATTTAAATGACCTGTGCTTTCATGTCAGAGTGTAGTCAACTCAAAGAGTGCCCGAAGACTCCGGCCCGTCTGTCGTTGCCTCTGCTGCCGACCTGCCTCCCTGCCAATCTGAGCAGTGTGACCTGGGCTCTCCGCCCTCCTCAGCACGGCACCGTGGAGCTGACCTCTCCCACTGGGCCCCTCAAGCAGTCCGTACCGGGGCAGCCGTGCAATGACAGCATCATTATCAAAGTGACTGAAGACGGTGGCACTACTGTTGGACACTTCTGCACTCAGGGATCAATACAGATGGTCCAAATCCACACCAATGTGTCTGTCACTGTGTCCGGCATAGGGGGTGAAGCACTGAGGACGTCTGGCAAGGACGTGCTGAATGCCAGGTTGAAAGAGGAGATATCAGGTAACAAGCAGCCTCAATTGAATAAAATAACTAAATGAAATAAATGCATTTTTTCAGTGATATTTAATTTTCTTTTCTTTCTAACTCCTGTTAAGAAAGTTACATATTCACCGTGTCTCCAAAGAGAGACACTCCTGTCCTTTTGGCTACTCCCGGTTGGCCAGTAGGAATGAGGTCGGACTCCACCGTCTCCTGGATCGTCTCTGTTCCGGAGAGGATGGACGCTCACCTGGTGTTTACCAACCTCCGGCAGCCCAAGTGCAGCAGCAGCCACACCGACATCAGGGTGCAGAGAGTCGGCCGCCGGGAGGAGGACTACAGCCGCAGGGAGGATGAAGAGGCCGAGAGTGAGATCACCGTCTCCGATAGCTTCTACCTCAACATGTCCAACTGCATGCCTGAACGAGGGGAGTTCAGCGTCATCACAGAGATCACCTGCAGAAGAGCAAGAGTAAGAGGACATTTTGCAGGGTTACCTGGTTAGGGCTGAACGATTAAATGCATTTGCGATATTATCGCGATGTGATAAAACGAGATTTTCAAATTGCAAAGACGATTACGCTCTGGTCACATGACACCCAAGAGTAAAGCAGTCTGCAGACGAAGCAGACTTGTTGTTGTACAACGCTTGACAGAAGCTGAATCGACAGAAATTTTAGTGTCACACAGGGAATGAAAGTAGCACCCGCGGGTAACTTTGTGGTGGTGGGTGAAATTGTCGGGCCATCCGCCGCTTTGGCGGACAGGAAAAATACGCAACAGAAAGACGTGTGTAGTGAGGTAAGCGCATTATGAGGATCGGCGCCAGCGTCACAAACACAGCCATCAGTCAGCTCAGGAAATATCTTTGAAGTTTAAAACTAAACGCACAAGTCCGAAAGAGGCCCAGTCTGTCCCGAGTTACAGCCAGTGCGCTGCTCACCAGCATCGGAGGCTGCGGGGGTGAGGAACTCCGGTGTTGTCGGAGAATTACTAAGCTTGTCTGTTAAACACGAGAGGTGTCAATTGGTTTTATTTTCGTTGGCCAACTTTTTAATTGAACCTCAAACTGAGTATTTCTTGTTTGCTTACTAGGATATAGAAAGATGGACTCTGAGATTAAAACTGAGATAAGGACTAATTGGTGGTTGAACTGTGGGTTTTGTATTGAGCCCTTATTGTATAACACACTGTGGTGAACTTAGTTCTTGTGATCTATAGGTAGGCCTACCTGATGATATATCATATTCATTTAATGCCATGACTCTCAAATTATCTTTCTCATATTATTAAAATTTGATATTTCTTCTCCACCGTAGATAATTCATGCATCACCTAATTTCATCATAACACAGGCCTGACCTACAAGAAAGAACAGTGTATGTTTAATTTATCTAATATTGTCATACTATACACTGACTGAGCATATCGTGCAAAAGTTCATTTATTTCAGTAATTCAACTGAATAGGTGAAAATATATTATAGACTCATTACATGCAAAGTGAGATATTTTAAGCCTTTATGTATTTAATATAATTTCGAATAAAATTAGAATATTACATGAAATCAAAAAAAAAAGGATTTTAAATACAGAAATGTCAGCCCTCTAAAAAGTATAATCATGCATATGTAAGTACTTGGTTTGGGCCCCTTTTGCATGAATTACTGCCTCACTGTGGCGTGGCATGGATGTTATCAGCCTGTGGCACTGCTGAGGTGTTATGGAAGACCGGGATGCTTCAATAGCGGCCTTCTGCTCTTCTGCATTGTTCGGTCTCATGTCTTTCATCTTTCTCTTGGCAATGCCCCATAGATTCTCTATGGGGTTCAGGTCAGGCGAATTTGCTGGCCAATCAAGCACAGTAATCCCATGGTCATTGAACCAGGTGTTGGTACTTTTGGCAGTGTGGGCAGGTGCCAAGTCCTGCTGGAAAATGAAGTCAGCATCTCCATAAAGCTCGTCTGCTGAAGGAAGCATAAAGTGCTCTAAAATGTCCTGGTAGACAGCTGCGCTGACTCTGGACTTAATAAAGCACAGTGGACCAACACCAGCAGATGACATTGGCTCCCCAAACCAACACAGACTGTGGAAACTTCACACTGGACTTCAAGCATCTTGGATTGTGTGCCTCTCCATTCTTCCTCCAGACTCTGGACCTTGGTTTCCAAATGAGATGCAAAATTTGCTCTCATCAGAAAAGAGGACTTTGGACCACTGAGAAACAGACCAGTTCTGTTTTTCTTTAGCCCAGGTAAGACGCTTCTGACGTTGTTTGTTCAGGAGCGGCTTGACAAGAGGAATACAACATTTGAAGCCCATGTCCAAGACCCATCTCTGTGTGGTGGCTCTTGATGCAGTAACTCCAGCCTCAGTCCACTCCTTGTGAAGCTCCCCCACACATTTAAATGGCCTTTTCCTGACAATCCTCTCCAGGCTACGGTCATCCCTGCTGCTTGTGCACCTTTTTCTTCCACACTTTTCCCTTCCACTTAACTTTCTATTAATGTGCCTTGATACAGCACTTTGAGAACATCCTGAGGCTTTCCCTCCTTGTGGAGGGTGTCAATGATGGTTTTCTGCCCAACTGTCAGGTCAGCAGTCTTCCCCATGATTGTGAATTCCACTGAACCAGACTGAGAGACCAATTAAAGGCTCAGGAACCCTTTGCAGGTGTTTTGGATCAATTAGCTGATTAGAGTGTGACACTTTGAGCCTACAATACTGAACCTTTTCACAATATTCAAATTTTCTGAGATTTTGAATTTGGTGTTTTCATAAGCTGGAAGTCATAATCATCGAAATTATATCAAATAAAGGGTTGAAATGTCTCACTTTGCATGTAATGAGTCTATATAATATTAGTTTCACCTTTTAAGTTGAATTACTGAAATAAATGAACTTTTGCACGATATGCTAAATTTTCAAGTTTCACCTGTAAATCGCAATATTGGTTAAAAAAAAAAATATTTTCCAAAATCGTTCAGCCCTATACCTGGTCTACATCAGAGTTTTGTGTAGAGACTTTTTTAAAAAAGCATTTTGGACTGGATGCTTTAATTGATCACATTGGCATCATCTGTAGGACTTGTGGTGTCTACTCAATAGATAACTCTATTGTATGAAACTTGATAGGTGTGTTGATTAGTGACTGTAGCCCAAATATTACCAAGAATCAGGACTAATCCTTATTTCCATTTTTGTGAAGTATAAGAATCAATACTCATTCATCTCCAGGCTTTCAGTGTTTCTTTAAGACATAGACAATATAACATTTGAACAACATTAGATTATAACATTAGAACGACTGTGCACTTAATTTATGTCAGCTTTAATGAAAGTTTGCATTTGTTGTTGTTTAATCTCTTTTAGACTTTCTGCTGACTATCATCCTGAGTGCGGTGGCTGCTCTGGTGGTCATTTTTGTCATCGTGCTGGCAGTGGTCTGTGTGGTGATTAGGTGAGTGCATCTGCTTTTTGTTTTGTTCTTCAGATTTTGTCTTTTTTTAAATTGCTCACTTTTGGAAAGAGTTATTATAGTAAAGACAGTGAAGGCGCTAACATAGTGTCTTAGTAAACCTCACGTCTGCTTCAGTCTGCTACAGATTTTCCTCCATTTAAAATGTTCTTACATAACTGGTCAGCAGATATATCTGTAATAGATGCTGTATATGAAGAGCTCATCGTCTTGTTTCACCTGCCAAACAGGAAGAAGAAGAAGGAGCTGACCCATCAAGTGTCCATATACAATCCAAACGGCTCCGGCTTCCTGCCAGGACACAACGGCTTCCCAAAAACACGCGAGGACAATGAGTCGCATGTGTACGCTTCCATTGAGGACACGCTGGTCTACACACACCTGCTGAGAAAGGGGGTAGAGATCGGCATCTACGGAGAGTTTGACACATCCCGGCCTTTCACAGGGCACACAGACTCACAAAAGCCACTGATCTCTGAAGATGCAGGTGTGGCCGACGTGCAAGTCGGGCCTAACCAGCAGTTTCGGGACTCCTCTATAGAGGCTCCTCCGCTTCCCGAAAGGCCTCCGAGCCATGGCCAACAGCTGATGGACAATGAGATTTACCAGACTGAGGACCAACATGGAGAGGAACGTTGTCTGGATCTGGGGCTGCGGCTGGAGCCAGAGGGAGGGAACTGAGCACCAATGTGGATTCAGCTTTCTGCTTTTCTTTTGACCTACTGATGTTCATCCTTCCCAGAAGCCTTTGTTTTTTCTCTTGAGTGTTGTTTTGCACCGAAGCCAGGTACACAAGATAACCCTCTTTTAACCTGCCTGCAGCTGTTACCTTGTTTAATCTCAGATGAAGAAAGGCACATTTGGAAAGCAGCTCATAATAATCCTCTTTATACCAACGTTTTGCTGCTACAAAGAGATCTCGTGTTGCTTGTAGGCAATTCATATTTTTCATTTGAGACATTTTGTACATATTAAGGCTGTTTACACAGGAGCAAACCTGCTGTTTACATGCTGAGATTTCCATGTTTTATCGGTAGACCGGTGAGCAGAGAGGACTCCACTGCTGTTCCAATATAAAGCACTTTTATAGCATCATCAAAACATGATTGCGTGTATTGCAGGAGATTGCAGCAGCATTGTATGTGCATCCAGTATCATCTTTCTGTTTTTTATGATCGCTATAGCACCTGCTGTGAGGAATTCTACATACAGCATCATTACACCATAACTGTGCCTTACAGAGATGTCCTGTCGGCACACGACAGTCCTGCTAATACAATTTAGGATCTTAAGAGTTGTTTTCAGCAATATTTTGGCCCAGGGATGAATTAAAAAAATGGGTGCTTTTGTTCTTTTTTGGACCCATACACATGGGAATCTCAAGACTGGTCTGCTGCTGGCTAAGTGAACTGTTTCTCTGCTCATACAGAGACTTTTTTGTTTTCTAATTGTGTCTCATGAAACACAGACCCCTGTGGGGGTCTGCTGGACTATAATGACATGAACTAAAACGCTTATAAACTCTTTGCAGTTTGCAGTCTGTGAGCCAAAAGTTACATTTCACAAAGACATTTCAGTATCTATTTTGGTTGACTGAATTTTGTTATTAATTACAGGGAGCTTTTAAAAAGAAGACTGTAGGAGATGTATAAGTTAACGTAAGTGCGATGACTACTCAAGACCCTTTCATGTGCTGTTGTGAAGACTGTTGGGTATGGAGCAACAAACTGATCTAGAATGTACTGGTATAGACCTAATAAGTAATAAGTAAGTCCTTACTAAGTCCACATTTTTAAAAATTGAACACGTCCATTCACTGGGATAAAAATAAAATTACACAAGTTATTAAAGTTTTTAGATGACCAGAAAGATCCCAGAATATTGACTTTTATCATTTGAGGAAAAATTGGGTTTTACAATCAAACTCATGAAAAAGACTGAAAAATTGTGTGTTGTCTTGTCTTGTAAAGGCTTGTTGCCTCATGCGTTTCAGAGAATGTACTGCAGAGGGAGACAAAGTTCAAAGTCCATTCTCATTCCTGAGGAAATAAAGTGTCCTTTTGCTTACTACAAAACTGTGCAAGATTTCTGTGAATGTGAATTAAAAGCCATGTAAAATATGAATATTTCTAAGTCCAGTTGTTTGACATTGAGTGTTAAAGGGACAGAGATGTGGACATGCTCTCTACAAACACGCTGCTACTGACATCAGTGGATATCCATGGAGATGTCCTAACATGTTGATCTGATGTAACCCTCCTCTGGGTGAGTAAACTTTTAGGAGTGCCAGTACAGAAACTGAGTTTTCATGATGAATAAAGTGTAGGTGGGTGGAGACGCAATAAGTCACTGTACTCGCATATAGTATACTATAGTATTGTTTGTAAGTTCTTTGGAAATTGGAACAGGTGATGCATGTTGTGGAGTATGTAAAGTGGTGACGCAAGAAAGAAAGAAAAAATGCCATCCTCAGTACTGTTTATCTTAATCCTGACCCTTTCTGTTGACGTTTACCATTTTCTTGGTTGTGAAAAGTTCTGAAAACAAATCATTCATGTTAATTTGCTTAAAATAACCCCCAACTTTTCCCACAGAGCTGACAGCCTGTATTCAGATTAATATATTTCAGAGCCTACAGAAAACACATGATATGAAACACTTCATCCAGTGTTTTTTGAGTCTTGTTTTGAAAAACTTGTGAGGGTTTACCCCCAGTTGGCCCTGTAAAAGGAGGTTTTTTTTGGTTATTATTATTAGTTCTACAGCCAAGATCTTTTTTTGTTAGTTGTTACATAAGCATTTGTTCCCTGTAATCAGCAACATATGCCCATATTATCTGCTGAATATTTGACTTCAACAAGAGACACAATGAGAAGGTTACAACTGAGGAGTCACTATTTTATTTGTATTAACATTATGTAATGTAATATAAGCAGCACAACGTGATATTCAGAACAAAGGTGCCTCAGAAAAGATACTCAAATACTCAAAACAAGGTTTCATTGCATTGACAAAAGCAATCATGCCCCTGTGAGTTTAGCTTATACAATGACCTACTGTATCCCAGACCACTGTGTGAAGTCCACCTGAATGGCTTGGTCAAGAAAATGTGAGCTTAAGGAAGATGCAAAGTAATACTCTCTTTTCTGCAAGCAGCATTTAATGTTCATACGAATGACATTGATGTCAGAAAGCAAGCACCCGCCTTCAGACAATGTTGAACTCACACACAGAAGCCTTTTCGGCCCGGCAGCTCTCATCAAACCACTTCCCGTTGGCTGTGGTGGAGAGGATGGCACAGTTCTGGTTGCGTCCTCCATCTGGCTGCAGAGTGATCTCTGTTTCCCAGTTCTTGAAGCGCACGCCGGAGCCTGACTGGTCCACCCACTGGCCCTCGGTCACCATGTCGTTGATGCCCAGCCAGATGTGCTCCTCTGGGCTGATGCTCTGGCGCACGTAGCTGTAGAGCTGGTCGTTCTCGTCTCCTGTCAGGGGAGTGCCCAGGCTGCCTCCTTTGGCGATGCAGTCGTCGCTGGCTGCGTGGAAGGTCTTCTTCACTGGGTCAGCCAGGAAACACTTGCCGAGGACCTTGGTGCCTCGCAGACAAACTGGGGGGGGGGGGGGATTAGGAGAATGGCAGTGTCACTGAAGTGTCATTGTTTAATTGTTTTTGACTATCACTGGAAAGCTGTTAAATTGGTGTTTGAAATATCTTTTCCCTTTTCTATTTTACACACACAGCATGTTGGTACTTTTTTTATTATTGTATGGTATTTATGATATTTACAAAATACCTGTCTGTAATGCTTGCTGCTCTTTCAGCAAAGTCAGCTCTTGAACAATGTCATTAATCTGTTTCTTCAGCTCTTCAATCGCGGCATTGTTTGCAGAGTCTGTTGAAGGGGCAAAAAATGCAAATGTTATTCTAAAGCATAATGCACTATAGTCTTTATTATGTTTTATATTTTGTACATCTTGTCAATTTTATATTTTTCTAGGTTTAAGTCACCATAGCAAATTCCTTGTATGTGTAAACCTTCTTGGCAATAAAGCTGATTCTAATTCTGATCAGTCTACTCAGTCATTAGTGATGAACTCTCACACAGTACTTCAGCATTGATATTGTATACATGTTATTTACAGATTTATTAAGTGAAGACATTGTTTTCATTTCAAATGTCAAGATTATATCAACTCCTACCTCTCTTGCCATTTCTTTTCTTTGAGGTGGTCTGCTGGAACGTGCAGTGTGCCAACAGGAGAAGGCAAAACATCAAGCGAATCCCTCTAGCATCCATCATACCTGGAAAAACACTTTAAATCCACCGTAAAGAAACTGTTGGTGGTGCAGCACCACAGAGAAGGTCCTCGCAGCTCTGAGCACTGGCCAGACACAGACTGTTGTGTTTTACACGCCCAGAGTGGTGACACAGAGTTGAATATGGAAATCTTATCTCAACACAGCACAAATGTTTTACAGATGTTTAACAGCTGTTTGTGTTGCTTTTGAAATGCTGAGGGGAGATGCGTGATAAGCAGGAGTTTCTGTTTTACAGATGTTTACAACATTCAGACAAGCATGACTCAAGTTCCACATGTTTGTAGGTTACTAATAAATCACAGGAGGGCCTTAACCTTCTGTGTGTTGTGTTGTGTTGTGTTGTGTGTACATTTATTACATAAACATCAATTCTTGTATTTGTCTGAGCCACTTCAGAGCAACAAACAGCTTTGCAAGTGACTTTTCATAGCCGCTTGCTAAATGATCTGTGTATTTATCCTGCCAAAAGGCCCTGTTGTGGTTCTGCTGAGGGTGCCAACAGGCCAGAGGTTGAATGTTTCTGGTGGGGGATCTCCTCAATGAGCTGGACGGGTTGCAGCTGCCACGTGGCAGAGACTCATGCAATGAGAGAAACACTTTTGTGAATTTAATATTTGTTTATGTTTAATTTCTTTTCTGTCCGACTGGTCTTCAGTGGAGAGTTTTGGTGAGCTCTGCCAGCGATGAAGAAGCAGACTGACACACACCTCAGAGCCAAATAACACATTAAACTCATTCAAGCAATGAAAAGCTCCATTTCCAAACACACTGTATTGTATATTTATAAAGGATAATTAGACCTTATTAGATCTGAATTTATACCTTTGCTTGCATGGAAATGTACATGATTGAAATGGGACATAACAGTGCCTCCTTCTGTAAACATATTATATAATATCATATTGTAAATGAATTTCCACAAGGCACTGGGAATACCTTGTTTGTGGGAAAGACAAATTCTCAAATTCTCATTTATACAAATCCAATTCTTGATTATATGAAGGAAGAAGGTCAGAGGGGCAATAGAAAATTTAATGATATGGATGGGTTATTGAGATTATATATTTTATTATTTTCAGAATGTCTATTTATCTATAGAATAAAGAAAGCAATGTTTTTATGCAGTTCTTACTGTATTTTGCACTTCATATTACATCATAATGTTTTGTCTCGCATGTGATTAGCATTTCTCTCACAAGGCGTTGATTGTGCATGTTTCCATGAAATTAATAAAATACATTGAGACAAAGAGGATAATAGTTTATCAATATATTTGAAATAAAATATTTACAAAATCAATGAACAGTGAAGCAGGTCCTGCAAGTAATCCAGCAATTTGACATTCATTGAAAATAAGTAATTTATAATGTACAAAAAGTTCAGGCAAAGGCAAAGGCAGCTTGTTCATATAAATGAATGCATACAGAATAACAATGCCCATTCGTGGTGGACGCTGCCCTGTGCACGGCCGGAAAGTTAACGCATGTGTCTCTGATTCAGGGTTCCAGTCAGCGTCACAAAGGTACAGGCAGTGCACGGGTCACAATTCATTTTTCACTGAAATGCATAGTTAGTTATTTAGGTAATTTCAGTTCAGACCTTGACCATCAACACAGTATATTCAATTGAATAATAATGATGATGTTTGTGGTACTGAAAGTAGAACGCACACTTTGTCTGCTGCTACATTGAAGGCTGTGATGCACACATGGTAGCTAACTTGTTTATTTATTACATATTTTCCTCTATCTACCTGTACCCTGTACCTCTCAGGTCTGTCTCTTGTGCTGCTATAATATTTACTGATTTCCTCCTGGGGATCAATAAAATATTTTTTATCTTATAGTGCTGTTTATGAAACTCTTTCTATATTTCTTTTTTACTGCAGCTTGTATGTTTTTTTCTACATTTGCTGATTGCTCAGTGGATAGTTAAGCACTTCACATAAATATAAAAGCCCTTTGCAATGTAGTCCTGCTCGTGGTCCTATTTGTAACCAACAAAGTTTCCAAATAGTGCAGCTCATATGCTGGTATATCTATATGGGGATAATTCTTAAATAAAAATATTCATATTGAAAATTCACAGGAACACAAAAGGTTTGCAAAACCACAATGTTCAACACAAAATAAATGCAACTAAATCAAGAAAAGAACACATAAAAAGACACACCTTGAGGTAAATACATGCAGGAATAAATTAAGTGTGCTTCATGTCTGCAAAAAAAAAATCCTGTGTGCCCTTTTGATCTCGTTGCCATGGTAAACTTTCTGAAGCCTCTGCAGAGTGTTAGGCACTGTCCCTCTGGTCTACGTTGGGCAAAGCACTGTAATAACAGTAGAGAATGAATATTAGCAGAGGTGCAAGTGACAATGGATGGAGCTTTTGCATGGGGGGGATCAGTGCAAATTAAAAAGTAGGAGATAAAGAAGAGGAAAAACAAAAGGAAAAACCTCAATTTTCTCACACAGGTTAGTGCTAAATATCTGTACATGATAACATGAACCTATTTGTGAAGTAGGGTGGGTAAGGATGAATACTGGCAGGCAGCTTGAGACCAAATGCAGCCTTAGCAGTGCTATATAACTAATAATCATAACAAATGTGTCTTAAATGTTAACTGCAGGGTAAATAGAGTTTTAATGCTTGTATGGCCATGAGTCACTGTCAGTGAGTCTGGACACTAAGAGAGATTAACCACGCTGCAGCCATACACCGTGTGGGAGAGGGGTAAGAGAAGTGAGGAGGGGAACATCAGGATCAGACTGCACTACAGTTCAGTGGTAGAGAGGCGGCGCGCTCA